CAGAAAAAAGTGGAAAGACTTACATGAACTGATACAAAGTGAAATGAGTAGAATCAGAAAAACATTGTACATAGTAACAGCAATATTGTATGATGAAAAACTGTGAATGACTTAGCTATTCTCAATGATGCAAGACAATCCCAAAGGACTCATGATGAAAAATGCTATCTGCCTCCAGAGAAAGAACTGATGTCACCTGAATACAGACTTAAGTATACTATTTTCACTTCCTTTCTTTATTTTTTGTTTGAGCTTTCTTGCACAAAATGGCTAATATGGAAATATTTCACATGATTGCACATGTATAACCCATGTCAGATTGCTTACCACCTCAGGGAGGGGGGAGGAGAGAGAGGGTTACAATTTGGAACTCAAAACTTTAAAAAAAATGATAAATTTCTTTTTGTATGTTAATTGGGGAAAAAACAAAATAATATTTTTTTAATTTTTAAAAAGATGACTTGAGTTTAAATTATGCTTCAGACAGTTATTAAACTGTGTGACTCTGGGCCAATCACACAACTGTAGTCAGTACCAGTTTTGGTTGTTTTTTTTTTGTCTTTAAAAGTGAGATGATAATAGCACTTACCTCATAGGACTGTTGTAAAGATCAAAAGAGATAATATATGTAATATAAAGTGCTTTGAAAACCTTAAGGCACTAAATAAATAATGGCTATAATTATTTAACCACTTTCCTGTTGCCAGCACTAAAAAACCTAAGCCTTTGGACAATTACTTTTAGGTACAATAGGTCCCCTACGTCTTTTTGTTGGTTGAATGGCTTTTCTCTTCCAATCTGTCTTATATTCTCTCCTTTGTGACCTTTGACATCTGCATTCTAGATGAGCTCCTTTTGAATTCTTGAAGCTCTTTCTTGGTTTGCTCCTTCTCTTGTGATGGAGGCACCTCCACCAGAAAAGCACATGGCTCTACACTCCTGATAATCCCAGTTTTGAGATTCTCTTTATTTTCCAATTCCAGCAAGATCTCAAAGCTTTCTTACCACTTGGTTGCCAGTATGGCTGTCTGGGCCATTGTCTCTGCTCCCTGTCCATTCCTCTTGCTGGAGCCTTACAATTGGCATTAGAACAAGGACCTTGTATAGTTCCTCCTTTCAGTAGAGGTCCCCCAGTTATTCTGATGGTATTGGAGTTTCAGGAACATTGGGTTAAGTCAATTAACTGCACTGCCACAAAATGGAGGGTTGCCTCTGTGATAGGTAACTCTTTTGCTGTCCACATGGCAGATCAATCAATCAATCAGCAAGCATTTATTAAGTAATATTCTGTGCCAGATATACTGTGCTAGGTACTAGGGATATTTTTTTCAGTCATGTCCAACTCTTTGTGACCCCATTTGGGATTTTCTTGGCAAAGATACTAGAGTGGTTCATCATTTCTTTCTCCAGTCCATTTTATAGATGAAGAAGCTAAGGCAAACAGGGTTAAGTGACTTACCCAGGGTCATCCAGCATGTAAGTGTCTGAGGTCAGATTTGAACTCAGGAAGATGAGTCTTCCTGACTCCAGGCCCAGTGCTCTATCCACTGTGCCATCTCACTGCCCTAATAGGGATATAAGGACAAACATAGAAGTGTCCTGCCCTCAAGGAATTAACAGCCTATTCAGAGAAACAGCATACACAAATACATATAAAGACTAAACACCAATGTGTATCTTTGTGTGTATTTTGTATTTTGTGACTCTCTTTCAAGGAGGGTCCAGCACTTCCTTTGGTCTGCATGTGTCTTGTAACTCAGTTTGCCTCCTTTTCTAGTCAGCACATTAATCTCTGTATTGATTTTGTAGCTCATTTTCTTTCTATTCCACTCTTGGTAATTCTTTACCTCTGTACTTTTCTGCCTCTAAATCACATTTCATAATTTCTTACTATGTTGCAAGGTCTTGCCTCGGCATCTGCAATTGGGTAACCTCAACAATTTTTACTATAAATTCTGTTCATTTATTTTTGCAACATTTCTGCTTCGCTTGCTAGCTAGTGAATTCCTCCCTGCAAGGGGCTAAAAATCCCTTCCTATTAAGACATAATACCCATAAAAACCAAGCTGCACATGCTTCTTTTTTGTATAAGCTCTTTGCAAAATTTTTCTTATTCACCACTCTATGGAGACTTGCCTTACAGTTAGGAGACTCCTGGCTCAGATCCCACATCAGACATTTCCTTAGCTATGGGACCATGGGTAATCCATTTAACATCTCAGATCCTCAATTTCCTCATCTGCCAAATGGGGATAACAGTTTTACTACTTTCCTCACTAATCTGTTTCAAGGAAACCAATCAATGCACATTTATTAAGACATCTATGTTCTCCACATTAATCATAGTTATCAAACAACTAGGGATTCAAAGACAAAAGTGAAACAATACCTGCCTTCAAGGAATTTGCATTCTAATAGGAAAGTTTCTGCCTACTGGAAAGACTACTGGACAAGAAAAATACAAGTTGTTATTACCATAACGCAACTACTAAATCCTCAGATGTGAAACTTCAAATTTATGAGCAGTTTCACTTACTTTTCTGTGGGTTGGTCTCTGTTTAGCCTGGTGAACTTTGGGGAAAACAGGGACTAGATTCATGCAGCTTGGTCAGGCACTGTTATCTGCATTGTTAAAAGGAGATGCCAAATAGATTAGATTACTACAAATTTGTTTGAGGATTGAATATTTGAAAATTTGAAAAAAAATATTTCCAAAATAAAAACAAAGTAATTTAGGGAAGAAGATATAAGGAACTGCTTCAAGTAAAGGGTGGTGCTTGCCTTGAGATTTAAAGGAAGCAAGTTATTCTGAGGGACAAAGCAGAGTGTATTCCAAGCTTGACAGACAGCCAGTGCAAAGCAATAGGGATAGAAAATGGAGCGGTATGTGTGAGGAACAGCAAGAAAGCCAGTTTGGATGAGCTATAGAGTATAGGAAGGGGTATAATATATAAAATGGATACAAAGGTAAGTTGGGGCTAGAACTTCAAATCTACTATTCTTCCCACTATGCTACAGTGTGTCAGAGGACATGTGTTTGAATCCTAATTCTTCCATATGCTAACTGTGTGATTTTGGTCAAATCAGCTCATTTCTCAAGGTCTCAGTCTCCTTTTCTGTTAAATGAGGGGATTAGACCACATTTCAAGTTGTGTCTCCCACCAAATTTAAGTTAAGCTTCTTTCTCCCCCACCCCTTTATTGTATCTTGACACTTTTTAAAGCAATACTGCTAATATCTTCCAACATCTTTCTCCCTTAGATTTTACCCAAGAATTTATATTCTAAACTGCTTTTCCCTTTGGTTATCATATCTCTTTTCTAGGCAAGAAAAGTGAATGAATGCTAGCTATAACAGTGCCCATACTTTTCACTGTACCTAGTTCTTCCACCCCAGTGCTCTCTCTACTGCATGACTCTGTCTAGCTACTGGGAGTTCAATAAATATCTTTTGATTGGTTAATTGATTTAGTAGGTGATTAGGAAGAGGGACTTTCTTCCTGTCCAAATCTTGAGCATTCTTAAGAATCCCTTGGGGATTGGAGAGGGGAACCTGTCTAAATAGGATTCTGCTTGGTCAACTTCATGGTGATAATTCAGCTGAAACCACAACCAAATGACCAAGCACAGCCTCCCCTGGCAGAATCACCAGCTACCCTCTATGTAGGATCATAGCTTGAGAGCTGTGAGAAACCTCAGAGGCCAGGGATCTGTACAGCCACTTCATTTTACAGACAAGAAAACTGAGGCACAGAGCATAAGTGAATTGCCTAAGGAATCACTGGTATCATCTGACAAGAGCTCCACACATAGACCAGCAGGGGCCTCATATGCAGGGAGTTTTCTGAATCTCTCTGAATCCCTGACTCCTGAAAAAAAAAAAAAAACCTGAAATGTCAGCATCCTTTTCAACAATACCACCATACACTTTTCACTAACCTACCAAAAGGCTGAGACGCCCATGCAAAGCAAAGGCTGACCTGAATAGTTAAACATGTACATATCTTTCACAGTTGTCTTGCCTCGATGGAGAATAGTTGTAAACCTGATGGATATAATGTTCAAATTCGTTTCAGATTCTCTCCTGGCCCAAGGAGAAAATGGTGTTTCCATTTCTGCCAATGATATCTGAACAGGAAGAATACAAGCCACAATAGAAGGATTAAGTAATTAGAGGGGATTGAATCAGTTCAGAGATCAGGGTCACCAAGAGAAAGACTGAGAGAGGAAAAAAAAAGAGGGAGAGAGAGGAGGAGGGAGAGAGGAAGAAATAAAGGGTGGGGGTGGGGGCCAGAGAGGGGAGAGGAGAAAGAGAAGGGAGTTAGAGGGAGCTGGGAGCTTCCTGGCTTTAGCAAGCTATAAAAATATTCTCCTTCTTCGCAGCTTGGTAGCTCCAGGGGACGGAACCTCACGTTTAGAGCTCGGCTACTCTGTGCTATCTCATTTTTTAGATCATCAGCTGCTATGGGTGAGTAAACCTCCTACTAAAACTAGGAAGATGTCTACCTATTGAATATATATGCCGGCATCCTGTACCTTCCTTCCCAGGACCAAGCTCCAGGATGAGGGGCTGGGGGTGGGAGTAGGGTGCAAGGTAGGGGCTGTTTCCGTTGGTTGCATGCCTTTGGATAGTGCCAATCAATTTTAACTGATGGATGCTTCCCTGTACGTGATACTCGAGTTCTCGGTAAGAATGCTTGGCTTCTTGCAAGCAGCCAGCCAGTCACACAGCCTGGCAGATTCAGACTGGACAGAATACCCAAAAGTTGATGAATATAAGGGAGAGAGAGGGATTTCTGTGGCTCCTCCAGATACCTCCCCCCCCTCAGGAAGAAGATGAAGTTCCACACCAAAGCTGAGCCCTTCTCACATGATGTTTTGCACATACTAAAAAAAAAATAAGTGGTCTAACAACCTTGTGGCAGGCAGAATTAACCTTCACTGACTCTCAGAATCACATTGTACATAAAGCAAAAGATGCTTTGGGGTCACCAATCGCACATGCCCAGTCTCTTGGCATGTGAACGGGCTGACCTTGTTCAGAGCTTGGGAGAGCTGGCTGTGGAGGGAGAGCAAGGTGAAGGGAATGTTTTTTTCTTAACATAAGGCTTCTGGGAGAGGGTAACACCATAGCTAAGGGTAGGTGGTTGGACAATAATATTCCTCCATCCCCCTCTTGCTGCTGTCTAGCTATGTCGATTTGTTCATTTGCTGTCAGAAGTGAGCAGTGTTCCCATTTCATCCTGAATGACAAACTTCTTTCGGCCTGTGTGGACTATAGAGGACAGAGGGAGAGGAGGGACTTCATTGTACTAGGCATAAAGTTAAATAAGACCTTATCCATGCCCTCTTGGGGCTTACAATCTAGTAGGAGAAGATACAAACATAGATAAGTATAGTTAATGCATGATACTACAAGATGAGTATGTTACAGAGAGGAAGAAAACCAATCGCTGTGTGAGTAAGGTGCAAGTCCAGATGTTAGCTAGGGGAAGAGAAGGTTGTGAAGGGGAAATCACATTAAAACAGGTTCTTCTTTATTTGGTTATTAAGAAGTTCTTGCTTATTCACCTGTTTTTAAAATGCCACAACAATGGTGAAATCAAAAATAAAAAGTTGTTGTCCAGTATAAATTAGACAATGACTAAAGTCTTTGAAGGATGGGCAGAAATTGAACAGACAAGAGGGCAAGGGAAGACATTCTAGGTATAGGGATTGCTGCTATTGGTGGTGGCTTGTGTTGTTATCATAGGTATAGGGATCAATGAACAAAAGTATAGCAATGGTAAAGTATTGGACATGTTTAAGGGTCAGAAAGTCATTTAGTTGGGATGGAGTGAAAAATGTGTGGAGGAGGGTACTATGAGTCTGGAAAGGCATAGTACCAACTAGATCATGGAGGGTTCTTGAATGTCAGTTGAAAGTTCAAACTTTAGGGGCAGCTAGGTGACGCAGTGGATAGAGCTCCAGCCTTGGAGTCAAGAGAACCTGAGTTCAAATCCAACCTCAGACACTTCATATTTACTAGCTGTGTGACCCTGGACAAATCACTTTACCCCGATTGCCTCACCAAAAAGAAAAGAAAGTTTAAACTTTATTAGGCCATAGGAAATAAATGAAGATATTTAAGCAAAGGAGTATCTTGAATAGAGCTATACATAAAGAAATTTATTCTGATGGCAGCATGAAGAATTGATTAGAAGAGGGGTAAATGGAGGCAGGAGGGTCTATTAAGGGACTACTTCAATAGTACTGGAAGGTAGTGATAATGACTTGCACTAGAATAATAGCAATGAGCATAGGGAAGATGATGAATGTGAGATGTTTGAAGGACTAGAGAACTTGGTAAGTGATTGGATATAATTATAATACTAGTCAACATTTATATAGCACTTTAAGGTTTGCAAAGCACTTTCCATATGTTATCCCATTTGATCCTCATAACAATTCATTATTATCCTTATTTATAGATGAAGAAAACTGAGGCTGAGAGGTTAAGTTACCTGCTCAGTGTACCATCACTAGGAATCTGAGGCAGGATTTAAACTTAGGTCTTCATGACTTCAGTTCAACATTCTATCCATTGTGTCATCTAGCTTCATAGTTAATGAAATGTGATATGAAAAATGAGAAAGTGGGTAGAGTCAGAAATCTTGCCAAGGTCCCAAATGTGGGAGAATGTATAGATGACAGTGGCACTCACAGAGCTAATTAAGTCAGAAGAAGGCATAGATTTATGGGGAAAGACAGTACCATGGATCAAGAGTGCTGGACTTGGAATTGGGAAATTTGGGTTCAAGTCTTGACTTTTGACAATTGCCTGCTTATATGAGTAGCTACCAGGGGCCTCTTGAGCAGTGATGAGAACAAATTCTCATAAGTTCAGAGGCAGGAGCCCAGAATTTCTACTGTTGTTGTTGTTGTTATTGTTGTTGTTTTGGTTAAGTTGTTTTTTAGTTGTGTCTGACTCTCCACGACCCCATTTGGAGTTTTCTTGGCAGAGAAACTGGCATGATTTGCCATTTCTTTCTTCAGTTCAGTTAACAGATGAGGACATGAGGCAAACAGGGTTAAATGACTTGCCCAGGGTCATACAGCTAGTAAGTGTTTAAGACCAACTTTAAACTCATGAAAATGAATTCCAAGCCTCAGGGCTCTATCCACTGCACCACCTAGTCCTTATTCTGTGGTTAACTTGATGTGTGACAATGAATAACATTCATTCATTCCCACTGGTTTCCTGTCTATACAATGTGAGTGTTGGACACAGTTTTCTTTATGTGCTCTCTCAGCTCTAACATTCTGTTTCTCAAGGTTCTCTCTAGTTCTGACAGTCTATATTCTATGTTCTACAGACCTCTCATATTCTGACACATATCTAGGAATTGTGACCAGGAACACCCTTTGTAAACCTGAAGTGTTGTATAAGTGTGAGCTCTTGTTTTTATTAACATTATTCGTTCATAGTAGCAGAGAGGCAATGTGGATTAGGGGATACAGAGCTGGCTTGGAGTCAGGAAGATGTAGATTCCAGTTCCTGTCTCTAGCTTATGCTCTCTGAGCCACCATGGAAAGTCATTTGATTTCCCAATACACCCAGACCACTATCCGAAACTGTAAGTCACAGAAGAGATGCAGTCAGTGGAAGGAGTTTCTACACTGAGCTCACACTGATGACATCACAGGTGCAAACCCTGAACCTACCGCTTTCCACCAAAACAAGAGGAGTAGTAGTAGTAGTAGTGGTGGTAGTGGTAGCAGTAGTGGTAGTGGTAGTATGTTTTGTGTTCCTCCTTTTGGCATTTTAGACTTTGAGTTCTTTGAGAGGAGGACCTGGAGCTTGTGCTTAGGGTGGCACATAGTAGGTACTTAGTAAATGCTTGTTAACTTGATGTTTTATTATCTATGTTCTAAGCTTCCTGCCAGTTCTAGCAGTCCCTTCCAGATGGGAGAATAATGGTAATACATGACCACTTAAATACCATCAATCTCAGCTTTTCTATATTTAAATGGAAATAATAATACACTACTTACCTCATGAATCTTCCTATCCTCTCTTTTTCCTCTCCTCTCTCTCTGTCTCATCCATGTCCCTTTCTTTCCACCTTGGTCTTATTTTTGCTACTGGAGATCTAAAATTCCTTGGAGAAAAGGTAAGGAATTCCCTGATTTCTGATTCTCTTGGCTCTTGTAAGACCATTTTCCTTCTTAATAACACATGGAACTTCAATACCATAGGGAAATCTGAAATTCCTAATTCTGTGCCAGGCTTCTTTTCATGGATTTAGGGGAGAGAAAAGGTGTTAGAAGAGCATTATGTGTGGCTGTCAACAAAGCTCACTGCTAACCAGCTCTAGAGGAAATGTAGATTCTAGGAGTGTAGCTTCATACTGGGGAAATCAGAATCCCCATGCTATAGAATCTAACATGCCATTTCTTCCCTTCTCTAGTCATCTCTCCTGAAAATACAGCATAGCCACAGTTCAAGAGGCATTCTGTACCAGAGGCTTTCTTTAGATCCCTGGCTTGCCAAGCAGAAGGAAAAGGTGCTATACAATTGGAATTTCTGTGTAGCAATGACTTCTCTTCAGCAGATTGGAACCCTAGGCCACCTATGGGAATGAACCTTCAGTTCAGAAGCACCTTTATGGTATATTGGGTCTATCCAGGGATTTCCCAGCACTTATGGGATGAAGGGAGAGGAAGAGACAGGACTACATTTCACAAGGCCTCTGGAATGAAATGTCTGTCATCAACGCAATCCTACCAGCCTGACATGTTTTTTCACAGACGTTTGGGAAGTTTCCAACCCAGGCTATTTCTAAAAAGACTCTTTATCTTCTGTGTTTGAAGTGAGAGAGATTAGAAGGATGAAGCAGGGTGGGGCAGTAGAAAGAGGATCAACGTCAAAGAACGTGGGCTCCAACCCTAGCTTTGACACTTAATACCTGTGTGACCTTGGGGAAATTAATTCATCTCTCTGCGCTTCTGTTTTCTTTCTATAAAACAGGGGGGTTAGACTGGAAGGCCTCTAAGATCACATCTAGTTCTACACCTATGGTCCTCTGACTACTATGCTAGGTCAGCCCCCGGTTTCTTGAAAACATGTGACAGATGAACTAGAGAGCAACCCTGGCCTCCTTGTAGCACTAAAAAAAAAAGTAAGGCATCTTGGCAAAATGGAAAGAGTATTGGAATTAGGGATAGGGCACTTGAGTTTGAATCATGCCTTAGATATTTGCTAGTTGTGTGATGCTGAGCAAGTCACCATTCAGAGTCTCAGTTTCCTCATCTGTAAAATGAGGATCATGGTGCTTACATTACTTACCTCAAAGACTTGTTAAAAGGACAGTGCCTTTCAAACCTTACAGCATTACACAAGTGGAATTTACTATAGTGTAATGGAAAGGCCAGTGGATAGTAGACTTGGCTTCTAGTTCCAGTGTTACCATTAACTTACCATGTGACCTTAGGCAAGCCACTCACTTCCAGAGATTGAAGTTGGACAGGCTTCTTTCAGTTCTAAAAGACAACAGCTTTATGCCCACATTCCTAGGCTTATTCTCCTGGCCTCTTCTTCTCACTGAAAAAACAATAATAGTGTGTTTGATGCTCTCAGGCATTCAGTGGAGGCAGTGAATAAATATTGAGTTGTTAGAGGTCTGGGTAGTCAATTTCTGACTGCTATGATCCTTTTTGCATTGAATCATTCTAAAACTGATCATGTGGGTTAAGCCAGGGGAGGGCTAAGAGAATAAGGAAGGAGAAGGAAACTGAAATCTGCAGAGCATAAGCAGATAATGACTGAAATTAATTTACTCTCATACTAAGAGAACCAGGACCAAAAACCATGTTGCTCTTTGCTGTTTTTTATTTACCAGCTGATAAACACTAAGTGATCTAAGTGCTGGTCTCTATTACCTCCTCGGTCAATTACTAAGTACTTAATGCTAGTCAAATCATTGCCTCTTATCCTAGACCCCAAATCTCCAAGCAATCAACCGATGGATCAATAGCTATTCACTAAACATCTAGGCTGTGCTAGGCACTGTGAGGGATAGAGAATACAAAGAATTT